GCATAACTCGTATGCTGGAATCGATGGATGCGTGAGGAAAACGGCCCCTTCCATTCCTTCTCAATCTCTGTATGGAGATCAGGAAGAAAGGAAGGCTCACCTGAGCTGGAGGGTTATGGCCTGAAAGACAACGTTCATTGAGATGACCTTGCAACGTCACTTTCTTTGCCCGCTTCCATGGCAAGTCAAGCCTCGCCGTTGTGCGATCCATAACTTCCAAAAGCTCATCATACGCAGGGCAGGAAGATTGGGAAGGCTCAGCCTCAGCTTCTTCGCCCTCCTCAGACATTTCCTGCTCATCCTGGGCCGAACCCAGCAGAGCACTGGTCCCTGGATCAGATGATGTTAATGAAATAACATCATCCTCCAGCGGCTCACTCTCGTCCACAGCCGACGATCGCGAGAGGAAAAACCCCTCTTTAAACTCATCTGCCAGATCCACCTGCGATCCCCACGAGCTCATTCTCCTCCGTGCCTCAGTAGCAGCGGGTCCTGAATCACGGGAAGCAGATGGCTGCCCCTCTTTCCTCTAAAAGAGAGACAAGCGAGAGCAGAGCTTTTTCATTGGAAAATGCTCGCAGTGCACGCCGATTGCCCCCCCGAGGACATCGCGTGTGTGCTCTTCGCCCAAACAAACAACGCATAGCGAGAGCAGAGCTTTTTCATTGGAAAATGCTCGCAGTGCACGCCGATTGCCCCCCCGAGGACATCGCGTGTGTGCTCTTCGCCCAAGCAAACAACGCATAGATCGTGTGTGTCATCAGATGTCAAATAACGACGACACAGATGCACACATCCTCTAAAAGCTTTGCTAGTGCTCGCCATTATGATATGAATAGAGATCGCTCTTACCACAGAAATGCACGCTTCATACAAAACAGTCAGTGAAGATGAAGAAGAGGATGATGTGTTCTCCCGGCGCCTATTTATACTATAGTCGCACCGGTAGTGACGTCATGGCTGTCGTGGTGTTTTTTCAATGTATGCTTCAGACATGGGTCACGACGAGGCGTTCCCCATAGCGACCCCTAGAGGATGCAGTTCGAAGTTCCCTTGAAACGGAATCAGCTTTGCCATCGCAGGAATTAATTACTTTTGAAATTACTCAGATAGAAAACAGTTATTTTAAATTTGTAATAATATTTCACAATATTACTGTTTTACTGCATTTTTTAGTCAAACAACAATTGTAATAATATTTCACAATATTATTGTTTCACTGCATTTTTTAATCGAATAAATGCAGCTTTGGTGAGAATAAGATACTTTAAATAGTGACAGTAGTTTTAGTAACACTTTATTTTACTGTGTTTTTGTTACAAATGTAACATGTACTGATTATAGTAATGTTGGTAAATCATGCACAATGCAATAGCCTTGAACCAAACCCTAGTCCTAACCCTAGTTAGTATATGTTGTTCATTAATATTACTCAGTACGTAAATGTATAATCACCCCCCATTCATTTGTATTTTTTAGTTTTTCACTACATCAATGGGTCTTTATATCTATATAGCTGCTATTATAAGGGGTCACTTGCGAAGGGACTCATATTAAGGGGTACGTGGTATCAAAAAGTTAAAAAAACGCTTGTTTAATGTATATATGTACACCGATGAGGCATAACATTATGACCACTGACAGGTGAAATGAATAACACTGATTATCTCTTCATCATGGCACCTGTTAGTGGGTGGGATGTATATGCAAGTGAACATTTTGCAGGAAAAATGGGCAAGTGTAAGGATTTGATCGAGTTTGACTAGGGCCAAATTGTGATGGCTAGACGACTGGGTCAGAGCATCTCCAAAACTGCAGCTCTTGTGGGGTATTCCCGGTCTGCAGTGGTCCGAATCTGTCAAAAGTGGTCCAAGGAAGAAACAGTGGTGAACAGGCGGCCAAGGTTCATTGATTCATGTGGGGAGCGAAGGCTGGCCCATGTGGTCCGAGCCAACAGAAGTGCTACTGTAGCTCAAATTGCTCAAGAAGTTAATGCTTTGATGGAAAGGTATCAGAATACACAATGCATCTCAGTTTGTTGCGTATGGGGCTGCATAGCCGCAGACCAGTCAGGGTGCCAACAGTGGGCACGTGAGCATTAGAACTGGACCACTGAGCAATGGAAGAAGGTGACCTGGTCTGATGAATCAAGTTTTCTTTTATCACATGGATGGCCGGGTGCACCAGGATGCACTATGGGAAGAAGACAAGCCGCCGGAAGCAGTGTGATGCTTTGGGCAATGTTCTTCTTGGAAACCTTGAGTCCTGCCATCCATGTGGATGTTACTTTGACACGTACCACCTACCTAAGCATTGTTGCAGACCATGTACACCCTTTCATGGAAACTGTATTACCTGGTGGCTGTGGCCTCTTTCAGCGATACCACAGCACACCTTCAGGCGTCTAGTAGAGTCCATGCCTCAACAGGTCAGGGCTGTTTTGGCAGCAAAACGGGGACCAACACAATATTAGGAAGGTGGTCATAATGTTATGCCTGATTGGTGTATATGTATGTGCATATGACAAAACATCCCTTTCCCATATATATATATATACATATACACTGAACCAAATTATAAACACAACACTTTTGTTTTTGCCCCCATTTTTCATGAGCTGAACTCAAAGATCTAAGACTTTTTCTATGTACACGAAAGGCCTATTTCTCTCAAATATTGTTCACAAATCTGTCTCATTCCTTACATATGAGTGCGGTGGCGCAAGTAGTGAGGATGCTACATACCGTGATGCTCAGAGTCTGGATGGATCCTACACGGGAAGACCAAAATAATGTGCTTTGATGAGATCCAACATCAATACAACAAAGAGTTTGGTTTCAAACAGTGTGCGTGTTGATTTCAGTGCTTCCAGAAGAGCTGTTGTTGCTTAATTCAGTCATAACTGATCTGTCACATCATTTTGGAGTTTCTTGGGATTGTAAGTGTGTGGATTGACATAATGGCTGAACCGCTTGTCCCACCAGCTACCCCATGACACCTTCACTTTGACCAAAGCGACCTGCACTTCAGCAGGTTCCTCAGTAGCACATGCATCATTAGTCTCTGTTCAGAGAGTGTGCTTTAACCAAAGAACCTGGATGCAAAAAGTGAGAAAGTAACACGCAAAAGGGAGAATGTTATGACAATCTCAGTCATAATTCACTTTTATTGTAAGGGGAAAAAAGATGCAATGAAAGTGAATGATGCTAAACATCTGCATTTTTTGTTTCACGAAATAAAGTCACACAAATAAAGTGAAATTATCTTTGCATTTCGGATGAACTAACCTTTTAATAATTCAAATTGTGTAATAAAGGATGAAGTTGGTTTAAAATGTAAAATGAAAGGATATAGTAGATTCTTTAAACATGAACTGTATACGCAGACATATATAAAACAGAAAAAAATATATAATGCCTTTGCTCATCACCCTAGCCTATTTTTTTATTTTATTTTTTATTCGTTCATCTAATCTGTCACATTCCCTTTATTAGCCATTGTGAATATACCTTTTGCTCAGTCATTTCATGTTGGCTTTAATAAAAATGTTGATTGTGGGAAACAAAAGTCAGCTTTTTTATTATTAAAATAAATGCTGTTCTTTTGAACTTTTTATCCATCAAAAAAAAAATAAACAAATCAGCATATTAGAATAATTTCTGTATCATTTGACACTGAAAACTGAAAATGTAGCTTTGCATCACAGGAATACATTACATTTGTAATAATATTTCACAATATTACTGTTTTACTGTATTTTAAATCAAATAAATACAGCCTCGCATGTAGTAATACTTTCGTCCTGAGAAAACAATTCAGATTTTATTTAAAATCTACCTTCATAAAAAGATGACTCATGTCTGAGTGTACATTAGTGTGGTTTTATTGTGTTCAGTTGTTACCCAACATTAGTACAAAATATTCAATGATGAAAGCATTTTAGCAACTCAAAATCTTATATTTTCCTTAACATTGATCACATTCATTGTATTAACATCCCAGACATCAAGAACGTTTGTGCCAAATGTGGATGCAAGCTGTCACATCTGCCTAGATATGACATGTCTGAACACTACAGGCCACACCAGATATGTTTTGCTATCTGTTTCTTTTGGTCTACCATTGGTATTGTGGTACTGTATATGGCCCAGATGACAGCACACAACTGAGAACCACATGTGGCTTAGCTTTAGCACACCAGCAGAGGGCCCCCAGTACTAGTACATCTTTGAACATCGAAAGTACTACAGAATTTAATTGAACATTCTTTACGTCCAGACAAAAAGCAAAAACTTTTTTTCCCACAAACGTATTTTTATTAAAACAAAAAATTTCTTCTTGAAAACTGCTTGTGCTTTATTTGTTTATTTAAATAAGTAAATGCCACTGGTTTGGTATTCTGTTATCTAACTTATTAATGGCTACACACTTATTTTTATTAAAAACATTTTTTTCTTGAAAACTGTTTGTGCTATATTTATTTATTTGTTTATTTAAATAAATACATGCCACTGGTTTGGTATTCTGTTATCTAACTTAATGGCCACAAACTTATTTTTAGTAAATGTTTTTTTTTTCTTGAAAACTGTTTGTGCTTTATTTATTTATTTATATAAATAAATGCCACTGGTTTGGTATTCTGTTATCTAATGGCATTCTTATGTAAGTGTGACTCCATTGTTAAAATACTTTTTTTTGGAGCCAGTGAATGTAAGAGATTTGATTTCAAGGACTCGACCTCGATGTGAAAAGTCTCCTCTGCTTGCAGATAATCCAGCCAATCGCTGCTCGTCAGGTGACGTCACTCGATGAAAGGGAATTCTGCATCAAACACGCGCAGCAGATCAGATCACACAAGCTTTAAACCCATGCCTGCCCCGGGATCATGCAGTTAGACCGTCCTTGAGTTTGTGCATTTGCAGATATTCGGATGAACACATGGAGGGGTGCAAGTGAATAAACAGGCTCGTTTAAAGCGCTTTTGTCCAGGACGTGTCTGAAGCTTTGATGTGCATGCTGATGGGAGATCAGATTACAGGCATCAGACCGCAGGCTTTCATCTGAGCTCTTGCTTCAGAGCTGGACACGGGACGGGTTCAGACCTCAGCGGCGAGCACACTGGATCACATCCCGAGCAGCTTTCCATAGGAGACGGCGATCTCACGAGCGACTCATTATCGGTAAGAAAGTTTTGCACACAGTTGCAGCGCTGCTTTGACCGCACATCATATAAATCCAAAACTCAGAACCTTAAGGAAAACTACACGAAACACACACACACACACACACACACACACACACACAGACAGTGCATGCATAGCTATAGCTTATAATTAATTTAAGGGACCTATTTCATTCGTCCATTACACTCTTTTTTTATGTCAGGTCAAAAAGTTCAAGCAGAAAAAGTTATTTAGACTATGTTTTATAATATTATTATGTTTTGAAGCCTGGTTTCAACATGTACACAATGCAATGTAGTATTACATGAATAACAACAACAACAACAATAGTAATAGATCTCTCTCTCTCTCTCTCTCTCTCTCTCTCTCTCTCTCTCTCTCTCTCTCTTTT